ATAGAAGAAATTTTTGCGGTTTTGAAATTATCTGGAAATATTCCTGTGCATAAAGAAGCATTGAAAATTTGAGTTAACGGGTGTATAAAGGCATGTGCATAAGTTTTTAATAAAGAGTCCGGAAATTCATCTAATCCAGATGAATATTTAATTTTTAGTGTACTGACTATTTTCAGGATTTCGTTAGAAGAAGTTTCGGAAATAAACATCGTGTCGAAATATTTTTTGGAACAGAATGATGTTGAATTTTGTGGTTTTAGTCCCTATCACAAACCGCATTACTATCGGTTCTTCAATCTCGGGATTCTACCACTGGCAAATTTTGTTTCTTGTCTCCTGGAGAAATACTACATTATTAACAGTAAGTAATTTTTCGTAATTTGAAGACGTTTGCGGAATTCACAGAAGCACAAGACAATAGATAAAGGAACCTTCTTTCGGAAATTTAATTTTAATCAGGCAAAATCAGGCAACTGTGGATTGAAAAGTTTCTTTTTAATTGATGTATGATTATTATTACTATTGTAAAGCTGAAGATTGTGTGAATTTATCTTAGTTTTCAGATAACCTTTTCTAATTTACAGATAAAATTCCACGAGTTTATCTCTAAGAAAGCTAAAATTGTTTCTACTACTCCAGCTCACAAAATGAAGTGCAATTCTTATTATAAATATTGGTTTTCTGCAAGAAAAAAATAGTACTTGTTGCTAACATGTTTTTTTTTTGCATATTTTACATATATCACACACAAGACAACCATGAGAACGATTATTTAATCAATTTTTTAATAACCTATAGTAAACAAGTCCTTCAGATTTTTATATAGTATCTCGAATTAATAAATAAGAATTTCTTTGCAGATGAACTATACCTATCCCCACTGTGCTGATGTAGGCGTAAAAAAATAGCATAATAGTATTTGCATATTTTACTTATATCATACACCTGAATTTCGTGCCTTTGAACTTCCTTTTTTCTTGAGCATTCAAAGTGTTAAGAGTACCTGACCCTCAGTGATCCCCCAGAAACTCAGAAATTCCTACAGTGCAAATTGGGGATTAGAATGGAATTGTTCTCATGGACCTGTGTTGACCACTGTCACTTGTTTGTACTTATTTATCTTCATTTTTCACTCAGGTTCTTCAACTTAAAGAAAAAAATTACTCCTGAAGTCAACGTCTGTGAAGAGTGCAGAAGTATCTTCTGTCACTGCAACTTGTGGAACAATTCAATGTAACTTCTAGTACTTCAAGTATAATAATTGTTACAGGCATACTTAGTCTTTTAGAAATGTACAGTACAAATGTTAACTAATGCATTATAGATTATTGTTATAATTTGGTTTCAATGTAGTCTCTTAATTGTTTATAAACTTTCATGCAGCAGAAAAGATTTTATATCAATATTTACAAGCCCTTTCTTCTTTAAAACTTAATATTTAAAAAAAACATGTTTAATAGTTCAATAAAACAAAGAAACACATTGATATTGCCCTAAATTGTGCAACGTTTTGACAATACATTTATTGTGTTTTTCGAGTACTGGAAACAAGAATAGTTAAAATTATTCTCTTATTAAAATTAAATTATATTCTAAACCATTTAAATACACATGTTACAAAACAGTTGGTATTATTTGATTTAAATTAGTTTAAGCTTACCTAGGGCATATGATTTTAAACATACATTTTATCCATTTTTTAAATTGTTGGGTATGAAAATTGAAGTTCAAGCAGTAGTTAATTGAGTAGCATCGAATCAAAATTCTACTGCTCCACAATTAAGCAATCTTTCACATACATGCAAGTGCATGTCAGATCTATTTTCATGACTAATAGTTAATTTGTTGAGCATGATAGAGAAAATAGCTGATATCTATTCCCAATCCTTCAATTATTTCAGGTGCTGCTTATTGTACTCAGGACATTTATAATGGAGACAATATCTATGTCATTGAACATTCAACCCAGACATCAGCTAGCAGGGTTATCCCTCAACTAGGTATCTCCAGAGAGATACCACCCCGGCCAGGAGAAGCTATAAGCTCCTGACTGATGTGTGTATGTTATGTAGTGCATGTAATTGTGGAATGCGTGAAATTTGGGGGGAGGATAGGAAAAGGAAGTAGACAGAAAGATGGCACACAGTCCATGGCCCATTTGTTAGGGAACTACTCTGGCATTCGCCTGGTGGGGATCTGAAAACTACCAATCAGAGCGGAAGTCTGCAAGAATTTTCCTCCAGACAGCAGCTGAATTCGACCTAGCCATGTAGCTAGTGTCGAAAACTCTTCCATCATCAAGGCCAAACCGTCAAACCTCCCAGTCATGGGCATTGCAGTGACATCAGTTGATGCCTTGAGCCACCTAAGACTGTAAAAAAAAAGTATAAGAGAAACTATCACATTATAAGTGAAGGCTTGAGCGAGTCCAATGCCTCATTCATGACAAAAATTAGATAAATATCATAAACATACTCCTCATATTGATTGTTAAATTTGTGTGAGTAATTTGGTGTAATAATACTACACTGACAAATTTTTTATTACTCTGTGACAAAGAACGTCAGAATGGAGACATTAATCGTATTTCTCATTAATGTAGTCTCTATTCATTCTTGAAATGTATAAGTTATTTTTCCGTCATGAATATATAAAAATTGTATTAATTTTTTAAATTATTAATCAAAAAAACTTTCCTGAATTAAGACATCTTTCACAAACATGCAAGTGCACAGCTGATCTGTATTCATGGCTGCTACAGTTGAGCTTTTGAGCTTGGTAGATAAACTAGCTGAGATCTATTCCCATTCCTTGAATTATTTCAGGGACTGTTTATTCCACTCAGTATAATTAAATAAGATAAAATAACACTGTATAATTGTAGGAAAATCTCAAGAGAGTCCAATTTACCACAAAAATATGATAATTCCACTAATGTATGCCGTATACTGATTGTTTAAGTTGTGTGAGTATTTTGGTGTAATAATACTCAATTAAGAGAAGTGAGCAACAAAGACTCAGGCAGTGGTGGCGCTTTACAATTTTGGGCCCAGAGCAATGCTTAAAACATAACGCCCCTCTCCCTTCTGGGAAAATAATAAAAATGTGAAAACTGTATCAAGAAACAAAATTTATTGAATTTATTACAACAAATAACAAAAATTACAATGTTTGAGCAAGAAAAAATTCTGGAAACATACTTTAAATAAAAGTTTAAGTGAAAGTATTTAGTGATCAAAAATATAATTTCCACAATGAGCTTAAAACACTAAAAAAATTGTTAGTGTTTAATAAAATCACTTGTTATACCATAGCCTGCTAGCGGTTTTCCCAAGTTCTAATTTCTTTTCAATTTCTCAGCTTTTTTTCTCTCCTATTCCTCCTTCTCTCTCTCTTTTCTTTCCTCCCTTCCTTCCCCAATATCGAGCCCTTTGGCTTATGGGGTCCTGGGCGATCGCCCATGCTGCCCATGCATAGTGCCAGTTCTGACTAAAGGCAATGCGAATGAGAATCCTACATCAGCTTGCAGGAGTGAAATCAAAGGATAGTTGACGGAGTAAAGACATCAGAAACAGGCTAAAGGCAAAAAAGATGTAGAAAAAATAAAGGATGTGAAGAGAAAATGGCTCTCACATTAACAGAATGAAACAGAGATTCTCAAAAGCAATGTTGAAGTACAAACCAATACTGCGAAGAGATATGGGAAGACCAGAAATGAAATGGCTAGATCAGGAGCACTTGGGGGTGGAAGCCTCCTGGTGTACTGAGAAACCGGCAACAGGTCTAGCAATCTGCAGATTATGATGGTGATGTTGATGATAACTACACTGATGTATGTCTCATTACTGTGTGAGGAAGAATGTCGGAATGGAAATATTTATCTTATTTCTCATGAATAAAATCTCTGTTTATTCTTGTAATATATAAGTTATTTTTCTTGAATGTGTTTAAAAATTGTGTAAATTTTTTAAATTATTGAGCAATAAAAACTTTCCAGATTTAAAACATCTTTCACAGACATGCAAGTGCACGTCTAATCTGTTTGTATGGTTGCGACAGTTCAGCTTGTGAGGTTGCTAGAGAAACTAGCTGAGATCTATTCTCAATCCTTGAATTATTTCATGGACTGTTTATTCCATTCAGCACAATTAAATTGGAGAAAATATAACAGTATAATTAAAGGGTCAAAATAGTCCAATTGCCAGAGAAAGTATACTTAAAACTATTATGCAAATAAAATAGAGTTTCAAAATAGCCTTGTCATCAAAATAACCAACTCTTTGTTTCTCTCCTGTGTAGTGAAATGGGGGCTAAAGGAAACATGTTGCCAATGATTCAACCAAGAGAGGGGGTGTAAGGCTCAAACTCCAACCAACAATGCCAATAAGACAATGTTCTGTAAAGTTTATTTAAGAGATTTTGATGGAGTTAGTGCATGAGCTCTAAAACATGAGCCAGCACTCGTTTGATTTTACTTTCGTCTTGCAAACGTCCGCTCTTCATATATTCCGAATGCACGGTTTCCAAGAAGCTGGGGACAAAGTTTGCTTAACAATTCTCAATGAACGTGTGGTGGTTGTAGGAATGCAGTGTAAAATTGCCTTGTAAGAAATGTGACTGCAATAGCATTAACAAAGTCTTGTATGAAATATTTTGTTTCAACATATAAATATATTAAAATATAACAAAATATGTGACTAATGTGTAGTAATAGGTAAACTGCATAGTTATATCAGAGGATTTAAAAATACGTAAAATACAAATAATTTTAATTTATTCAGGTCTTGTAAACTCAATAAAATATTGCAGGTGAATGCAGGTATCTTGTTTCTTTAAAAAATGTTTTTATATTAAAATCGGTTCCTCAGTTATAACACATCGAGAACCCACTACTTTCCATTTAAGGAAAAAAATAACAACATTTTGTTGAGTAGGAAGATCAAATTTGTTCTAACTGAAAACCTGCCGTTATTATTTTCTGTGCCCAATTTAATTTTTTTTTAATTGATGGGTTCCAAAATTAAGCAATTTTTCACAAACATGCAAGTGCACAGCTGATCTGTTTCTATGGTTGTGACAGTTCAACTTTTGGGCTTGCTCGATAAACTAGCTGAGATCTATTCCCAATCCTTGAATTATTTCAAGGACTATTCCACTCAGTACAATTAAATTGGAGAAGATATCACTGTATAATTGACGGCTAGAGATAGACCAATGACATTTTAATACAATTAACATGCTCTCCATATTTATTGTTACATTTTGTATGAGTGTTGTAGTGTTGGCATAACAAATCCTACAAAGACCTTTCTCAGTATAATGAAGACTGTCAGATGGCAAAGACAGTTCATCCTTTCCCCTTACTAGAGAAAATAACAGATCTATGAATTATTTCAGGGACTGTATATTCCATTTGGTGCAATTAAACAAGAGAAAATGTTACAATGTAATCTTTTGTCTTGATTAATTCATGTAATATACAAAATATATTTTCCTAATTGTCAAAATTGGAAAGTCGTGTAGCTCAAATTCACTTCTCTGTGGCTTCAAAACAAGGATAGTTACTGTTCTCCATATTATTGAATAGTTTTGAAATATTGTTTATGAAATGGAACTGTTTAAGTGTCACAAAAGGATGAAAATAAGGTATTGTTTACCCAAACCCCCAAAAAATGTCTGATGCCGATGACTGTTATTTGTTGCAATGTTTAAGAGTTCATTTTCATTATCAACTTTGAAGAACCAAACTTAATATAAAAAATAAAATTAACCCAAGGTAAAGATTAAATTGGATGATTGAACTCTGCTCTGAAATTACAAAATATTTAAGAATAGGAAACTTGGGGAATGTATGTACGATATGAAACTAGGAAGCAAGCAAAATAAGAAACATGTGGAAAGTATGTACAAATGGGTGTATAGTAAACAAATTTATGGATGAAGAGAAACTTCTAATAATTAATGTGAATATCTGGGAAAAGAAATGTTGCATTTCCAAAATGGACACTGTATGTGACAGTGAGAAATTAACAGTTTACTGTACACTTAAAAAAGTAGTGATAAGAATCTAATTTTTGTTGTGGACTCCTCGAAAGAAGAGAAAGAAAAAAAGGAAAAAGGAACAACCATCTAGTCCCCCGATTTTGTAAAGAGAGCATGGCATTGGATCCCTGCAGAACGGAGAACAGAGCACAAAGGCTCCTCTCTTCAGGAGAGTGTGGAAAGGTGAAGTGAAGGCTTTTGTTTACCCCATACAAGTTGAAAACCAATATCAAGTAGATATCAATGAAATTACTTTTTTGAACATGTTTCATATTATGAAATGATAACTTCATAGATTTTAATATGTATGTCCGTTTATTTTTTAAATATTCATTCTTTTTATACATGGTTAAAACAAGTACATTAAAAATAGTTTTAAAAAACTATGATTAGACACAAGATCACAAGTAAATAAAGAAGGTAAGGCTGAGGGAAACATGGTACTGCCATACCATCCAAAATAGATAATGGATTAAAGAAAATACTGATTTAAAAATGGCGCATAAAATGATCATCAAAAAGAATATTGTTGAAAAACCACAAGGACAAAACTGATAAAAATAAAAAAGCAATGTGTAAGTAAGATGTAAGGATTGGAAACTAAATATATAGGTCAAACCAAAAGTCTAATAGTAACTTGAATAAAAGAACATAAGATTAACACCTGCAAGATACCTGAAAAACCAAATTCTTTAACTAAACAG